GATCCTCGAGGAAAAGTTGAGCATGGACAGCACATCAACAAAAAACATACAAATGTACACAATAAGTACACACAACAGCATCGACCCCAGGACTGCTTCCTTGTCATACTATGTTTTGGACATCCCTCCTGCAGAAGGAACAAAGCCCACTTGCGCCTGGCGTGCCGCGCCAAATCGCGGTGGGCCAGAGCCCGCGGCACGCGCGTGATCCCGGGCGGAGAGGCGACAGGGAACGACGAAGAGAGTCAGCGAGGGCAGCGGAGAGACTGGCAGCGCCCTTGCGCCGGCCTTGCCGACGTGCTGCAGCGGGTTGTGGCGTGGATCTCTGCCAGTGCAAGACCCCGAAACGGCGAGCGAGACACGAAGCGAATCTCGCGTGGATTCTTGTTGGTCGTCATTCCTGGCCAGCAACAAACTCCGCACGAAATTCACCCTGGAATCCGGGGCGAAATTATCCAGGACATTCTGGGCGCATCCGATCGATTTCCGAACGAAATCCGCTCTGCGATGTTGGCGCCAAGTTAGATTGGAAGCGTCCTGGGAAGGATCCGGTGATGAGGCGAGGGCGCCGTGCTACTTGAGTTGTCGGGCACAAGCAAAATCGAAGAGCGGAGAGGGGAGCAGTACGTACGCATGGGCACGGCATGCATGCTTGAATCACACCAGCCATTTCGTGGCTGGTACGTTGAGGGATGCTGTGTTTCTCCTTCCCCTTCGATAGGGATCTGCCAATTCTCTCTATCTGTTAGGTCGGGAGTGTCCCCCGACAGGCGGATTTTTGACGAAAAACAAAAAACAACTCATTCAACATTATTCAAAAATATGAAAGATCGTCCCCAGACTATTCTTTGACTAGTTTTGAACATTCCTCCTGTAGAGGGACAAACCCAACTTACCTCTATCGATAAATGCGGCCTTCCCGACTCGACTGGCCGTCAGCCAGGAACACCGAGTAATGCCTGGCCATGTCAAACAGTGCAGCAAAGCACCGCACAGCAGCTCCAGACGACACACATCACTGCCCCCCCCCCTCCCTGAACCTCTGCTTTCACCTCCTCCTCCCTATCCTCCTCACCCAACTCCTCCTCATGCGGCTCCTCCCCCTGCTCGTCCTACTTATCCTTCTACCTCGTCGTGGTCAACGTCCTCAGGGTCGGCGGCAACGGCCGTAAGGCCCTCGAAATAAGCTCGAAGTCGTGCGAGGGCACGTAGTGCAAACCAGTGCAGTGCAACACAAAGCAATGCAGAGCAGTCGGCGGCCAAGGGGCGCTTCAAGGGGGGCCCACGGGGGGCGACAGCGATCCGACAGCCCAGAGCTCGCGTCCAGCTCCCCATAAAAGAAGACAGAACCCCTCTCGGGCGTTGGCGTAACTGGGGTTAGTGGGACCTGGTCTAGTGATGTGTACTGGGAGACGCCCCCCCCCCGCTCCGTTCCACGAACCGGAACTGCCGTCACCCGAACAAAAACAGCTGCGGCAGACCTGGTCTAGTGATTCTGGCCACTTTGGTGGCTACGGGGCCCCACCTCTAAGCGGGACCCCTTACCCGGGGTCCTGGCTATACCCGACCCCTTACAGCACGCATTCGTAATCCAGTGGAGTTGCCACACCTGCCTGTCCATCCTGCCTGTCCACAGGGCCCACCAGCCGCGTGCGGGGCGTGAGCAGAGAGTTGCCCCGCCCGTCTGCCCTCGTCCCGTTCGGAGAGAGGGCTACCCCGGCCCCCTCCACCCTGCCCAGGGGTGTAGAATTAGGTCGGGCGTGTCCCCCTACAGGCGGGTTTTGGACGAAAAATGAAGAATACTCGAAAAATCTAAAACGTAGTCAAAATATCGTCACCAGACTATTGTTTGACTATTTTTGAACAATCCTTCTGTAGAGGGACAGGACCGACTTGAGTGTAGAAGGGGGGGCGCGAGGTCCTCGAGCATCCGAAAGCGGCCTCGGCGAAGACGCCAACATCATTGCCACATATTGGCATCTCTGGGGGGGGGGGCAAAGTTACTACGGCCCGTTCTTTCATCGATCTCATCGAAGATGGCCCCCAAGGCTCCCAAGGGTGCCCAAGGGCCCCATCGGGTGCCAAAAAGACCCCAAGGGGCCTCGAAGATGCTCCGCGGATGCCCCCGATAGGCTCCCACGATTCCCCAAGACGGCCCGCGAGGCCCCCAAAGGCAGCCACGGCACCCAGCGAGGCCCCGGCGAGAAGGCCAACGTCATGCATGCTACCAAGGTGTTGGCCACGTATTGGCCCCCTGGGGAGGGCCTACACAAGGAGCCCCCCTCCTTTGATCGATCTCCTCCAAAGTGGCCCCGAGATGGGTCCCGAGGGCCCCAAGACGACCCCCCCAGAGTCCCCCAAGATGCCCCCAAGAGGCCCCCCAGAAGACCCCAAGACGCCTTCAAGAGGCCCCAAGACGGCCCCAAGAGTCCCCCAAGATGCCCCCAAGACGGCCCCAAGGAGACCCCAAGAGGCCCCCAAGATGCCCCCCAGACCCCCAAGACGATCCAAGAGACCCCCCCCAGAGACAGCCAAGACGCCACGTGAGGCCAAAATCAAGTATGTTCCAAAGGTTTTGAACACAGTTTGGTCTCTTGGGCGGGGGACCCTCAGCGAGGAGCCCCTCCTCCTTTGTTCGATCTCTTCCCAGATGGACCCCAGGCCAACGGTGCCCCAAGACGGCCTCAAGAGGTGCCAAGGAGGCCCCAGGGGCTCCCACGATGCCCCCACGATGCCCCCAAGGGCTCCCAAGAGACCCCCGAGAGGCTCAAAGATGCCCCCCAGAGACCCCCAAGAGGCCCCTGGGACTGCCAAGAGACGCCCGAGTCGCCCCAGTAGGACTCCAAGAAGCTCTCGGAAGAAATCCGGCGAGACTCCGAGAGGAATCATCGAGGCCTCTGACCTTTCTGCTCGCCCACCTCCTCCTCCTCCTCCTCATCCTCCTCCTCCTCCTCCTCCTCTTCCTCATCCGCCTGTTCCCCATCCTTCCTCATCCCTACTTCCCCTCTCCCTACTCCTCCTCCTCCTCCTCCTCCTGCTCCTTCTCCGATTCCTCCTCCATCCTCCCTCTCTTGGGGTACGACGCCTGACCAAACCCTTTATTCCACTGCATTCTCATCCACATCCCTGATCAGGGCAACTCGTCTGGGCATCGTTTCGGGATCGGCTGGCGGGGTTACGCGAAGCGTACAGGATCTGATAATGGCGTCCTTCCTCGTTTGCGCTGCGTTGCCTTTGAGGAATGTGTCAGTGTAAATTCCGCCACACGTTTGTTCAGGTCGGCTGGCCGTGCGCCTGTTGATCGAACTCGGTCTCGATCTCAAACTCAATCTAGATTGTTTGCCCAATTCAGGAAAACATGTCCTCCAGTTCTGGGTAGGTTGGAATCTCGGATTTGCTTATGATTCCGGCTTTGGCGTGCCCTGAGGTGGACGCGGAGCGGCTTGGAAAATTCCTTCGTCGGGCAGCCAGGGCCCCGCGAGCTCGGGATCTCCCCGCAGCGCGCTCCTCCTCATCCGCGCCGGCGTCGCCAGGGCCAGACTGGCGGGCGATGTCGAACACCACGGGTCTCCCCGTGTCCGTGTGAAGTCCGCAGCCTCCAAAAAGGAGGAAAGGAGGAGGAGGAGAAGGAGGAGGAAGATGAGGAGAAGGACAGATGGAGGGAGGATGGCGGTAGATGGATGAGCATGGGGGGGGGACAAGCCCCGCGTTGCAAGCGCCCTTCAAGCGTGCGCTCCCTCGAGCAGTGTATTGGCCACGCTACAGGGTGTCCAAGACGCTCATCCTCCCTCGTGATCCTCCAGCCCTTCCAACACCCCATTCCCGTTTCCCCCCCTCCCACTCCCTTCCTTCCCCACCACCCCGATCACCCTCCTCCTGCGTACTCCCTCACCCAGCGCACAACCCTGCTCCTCCTCCTTCCATCACGCGCCGTTGGACGCACCCATGCGGCAGGCCCAAAGTTTGCCCCAGACCGCTTCGGAAAAGGTGTAGGCGACGGCCTCTGCGTCAAATTTCTCTGCTCGCCCTTCGGTCCTGCTATGCCCTGCTCGCTGATCTGATGGCCAGAGTGCACTCGGCACTGTGCCACGCGCACGCCGCAACCCCCCCGCCACCCTTCAAAATCTCCCTCGGAGAGAGGCTGAGTCCAGCTGGAGGCCCACAGAGCCCCTTGGCTCCAGCTGAGCTTGCTCTAACCAGACTCAGCGTCACCCGAGAGGCTATAAGTCTAGCTGGAGGCCCACCAGACGGAGCCCCGTGGCTCCGACTGGACGAGCCACATTCAGACTTAGCGCCGTCCGACTCCCTCCAAGCATGCAGTCTTGATGCCCAGGGAGCCAGAAGCCAAGATGCAGTCTTGATCCCTCTCCCAGGGTGCGTCCTGACCAGGATCTCGAGGCGCCCGAGGAGGCCCAACAAGAGGGGGAACACGGGGCAAGGGCAACGGCATGGGCACTAGGAAGCCGAGCTCTATACACCGATGTGTTTTTTCTGGCCCTGCACTGAGCTTTGCACAGGAAAAGCGAATCCTGGTGTATACGGGACCCTGGTGTTGTACTTTCTCCGCTGTTTTCCCCAGGAAGCGGATAAAACAAATATACGCCACACCACTCCGACCTCGTCCCCGACCCTTACAAAGTCCTGGGACTGAAAACCAACCCGCAACTGGCAATGTAATTTGAGCAGGCAGGGACCGACCGTCCCGGCATTCCTACAGTCCTACCACGAGATGTTCTTAGAACCCAGAAATGTTCTAAGAACAAAAGCAATGCTCTTAGAGCAGAAACCCGATGTGATAAAACAAGACAGACTCCGCCAGAAATGTTCTAAGAACATGTTGTGGGAACCACAAACGGTTCTTAGAACATTGTTTGGTAGGGCTATAGGCACGCCGGGACGCTTCGCCACTGCTTGAATAATGTGCTCCAATTTCCGAGGCACCTCCTCCTCCTCCGAGGCGTGGGCCGGCGGACTGGCGGACGGCCGCGTCAGCTAGCACGGCCTTCTGCAGTTCGCCGATGAAGTCATACTTCATCGACACCTGGACCCCGTTGACGGCCAGGACCTGCTCCCGGGCGAGGAGCCCGACACGGGCAGGGCGCGAGGCCACTCACGCAGGGGGCAACTCCTGGGAGGTCCTCGCAAGAACGATTCGGGGCGATGGTTTGGACGCCCGAAATGGGTACGGAAAAAAAATGGGCACAATGCCGAACAACAAATGTTGTCCCAAACCAACAGCGGCCGCTGTTGGGCGGGCGGCCTCCTGTCTCAGATGGACACAGGCCGCGGCGGCGCGGACAACGAGCCCTGTCCAGAATGAACAGGGACTGCTGTTGTGCATCGTACCCAGTCTTTCCATGCCCATTTCGGGCGTCCAGAACGTAAGGGGGGGAACTACTGGGAGGTCCTCGCAAGAACGATTCGGGGCGATGGGGCCCGATCACTGACTCCCTGCCAGACCACCCTTATCCAACCCGAAGGCCCGAGTGTGACTCGAATCCAAGACGATGGGCCTGTTTTCAACCACCACGACCTTAAGCTGGAGTGGGAGGGGGTCCTCCCCCTCCTACTCCTGCTCCTGCTCCTCCTCCTGCTGCTCCTCAACCTCCTCCTCCTCCACCTCCTCCTCCACCTCCTCCTCCTCCTCCTCCTCTTCGTGTAAGGGGCAACTTCTGGGAGGTCCTCGTAAGAACGATTCAGGGCGAGGGGGCCCGATCACAAGGCCACCGAACCACATCAGGCCGGATGAAAGCGGGGAGTCAGCAGCCTTGCGCTGGCAAGTTGGATTCGACGGGGCCATACCAAAGTAGGCCGGCCTTCGACCAAAGATGTACCAGCGCCGGTCGGAATACAGTCAACCAGTACAGTAAGGATGCGCGATAAGGATGCAAAGGCCTTGGACGCCCATTTTGAAGCTTTTCGAGCGGGGCGCGGTCAGCGAAAACGGCAAAGGATGGACCGAGGAGGCAAGGATGCAAGGGTACTTTTGGGAAGGCTGCCCATCCTTACTATGCGGGTTCACTCTAGGCCGGTCTTCGACCACAAACGTACGAACAAAGGCCTGTCGGCAGAAGTGGGCAGAAGCTTGGAGTAAGAAAGAGGTGGAAGTATATCGGGTTTCCGCCCACCCCCTGGAGAGGAGGGAAGAAGGACGCCAGTCGATGCTTGAAGTAGGAAGGCGCCACGAGTAGATTGGGATGTGTGGATCCAGAAATACCTACCTTCAAGGACTGGCGTGTGCCCGCGCCGATTCTCCATCTGCCCCCCTAAGCGCTGAATTCCCAGAATACCGCCCATGGGCAGGGCAGGGCAGCCAGATGGGCGAGACAGCCTCGTTGCGGCCACCCGAGCACGCTCCACTCCCAGCTTTCCCGCGCTCCCGCTCCCCCACGTCGCGGGCGGCAGCACGAACGTCTTGTTCTCGTTTGCCCTCGTTCAGTCTTCGCTCCACCGTTGCTGCAAAACGGCATCACAACGAGAACGGCCCACGAGATCGCCGAGGCACAGTTTAGCTCGAGCCCTGTGGGAAGTCGTGGATATGGAGTAGAGCTGATGGGCCTGTTGTGCACCACCTCCTCCATGAGTTGGAGGGGACAAGGAGGAGGATGAAGAAGAAGAAGAAGAAGAAGAAGAAGAAGAAGACTCGGCATTGCGTGCGGTCTCGTCCGCGGTGACCTACAGGCCTCGAGCCGTCGCTCGAAGCAAGCCTGTACCTCGCACAGTCCCTGGTGAGGCTGCTCATCCAAGGAGGTGTTTGGTGACGCGCACCGTGCAGTCCCTCGTGAGAAACTCATTCAGGAAGAAGCAACTTGCACTATCTCGCTGGGCTGGGGGTGATGCCCCTCAGGCCTCGACGAGCCCGAGGCCAACGGCGCTGGGTGTGCCTGGCTGGGCGTCCAAGGCACCCCCCCTGTCCCGTCAAAAATCAGGTAACGAACTCGTCGATCCAAGTCCCCCTCTAATCCCCCCCCCCCCCCCTCCCTCCTCAACCTCCGATCCTAGGGCGAGGGGGCGAATTAGCAAGGAAGAGGTGTGGGTGGTGGGAGGGGGCTCTGAACTACATCCAACAGCTTCGCACTGGATTGCAGCGCGGCCTTGTCAGGGGGCTCGGCCGAGAGCCTTAGGAGACACGGAAGTCCTGGGCTGAACTCCCAGCGCGCGAAGTGGCTCAGCACGCGCTTCAGGACATGCGATGAAGAGAAAAGGCGACCTGGCCCATTCCGCTGGCGCAGTCCAAAAGAAGGCTGAGTGCGCAGCTCGTGGCTTCTGCAAGCGGGCGCTCGCGAGGGCCCGACGAGGCGACGCGAGGGGCTTTCGCGGCGGGCTCCTGGGAGACAAGAGGCCAGTCCCAAGTCGAGAGCGGCAGAGACCCACGCACTCTGCGCCCAACTCTCAGGGCCTCTCAAACGCACCTCTAGTGTCTTCTGAACCTCCGCGACTCAGGGGCCGCGGCCGTTAGGCCTTGGCCGAGAAGGGGCCCCGAGGAGCCCGGACAGAACCTAGTGGGAGGGGGTGGCGCGGAAAAGGCTAGGCGTAGCTCGCCTCACTCAGGATGTCTCATTACTTTAGTGTCCATGACTGCTCGAGGTAGTGTCGGCGTACGTGGCGATACTCCAGAACGCGTAGAAGGAGGAGGGGTAGCCGCTGTCGAAGGCGGTGGAGGTCACCCGCGCGCGAACGAGTAAGCACGAGACAATGCACTCCAACAAATCAACTCCGATCGGGAATCTTCCAGGAGAGAACACAACATCGGACAACCTGCATCGTCGTAAGTATAGTTGCCACTGTCCAAATCAATGCGTCATAAGTCGGAGCCTATACTCCCAATTCAAAAGGCGTGATGATCTCAACGAAAATACGATATTGAGCGGCGACCGCAACCCGTTAAGTGGCTGGAGTCTGTGATTCTTTCTGCAGAATACGCTCACGGAGTGCTGCCATGCGATCTTCCCAAGCTACTTCTTGCGGCCTCCTGTGCCTCCCTCTCTCGGCTTCGTCCTGTCCAATAGCGTCTGCGCCAGCATCTCCAAGTGCCCCTGAGGGGCCGCCCCCCATTTCGCCTTGCCGCCGAGCTCCTCCAACAAGATGATCGTGGCGCTCTCGATCTCCAACTTGCTGTGAGATATTTCGTCCATTCCTTCGGCAGCTGGTATGCCTGGCCATCAGCGCGAGCTCTTTGACTGAGGCCACCGACGCGAACTTCCTGTAGAACGCGTCGGCTATCAGATGCGCCTGCGGCTTGTTGGTCTGCAGCGCCGTCGACTCCGCCAGGCACTTGTACGCGGCGCGCGCGATGTGCAAATGAGGTGGCCCCAGCTGCGGTTTGAGAGCCTCGATCTGCGCTGCTTGTGAGCACTGCTTGCCTGCTGCCCGGCCTGCTTTGATCACCTCGGCGATCGTCGGCGTGAGAACGGATAGCCACTCTGAAGCGGCGAGGTCGCGTAAAGTTGTGCGCGTTGGCACGAGAGTTTGAGGGGCACCATGAGACCCTGCTGCATGTCCTTCTGCTTGAGCGCGCCCACGGCCCAGAGGAGGGCCTCGTCTGCTGCCTCTGCCATCTCCGCGAGCTTCTGCTTCTTCTTGTCTGGTGCCTCTTGGTGTGCCGACGCGCAGCCTGATGCCGCGCCTGCTCCTCCGCCGCTGGGGGCTCCTGCCTCTGCCGCGGGATGGTGGCGCTTGAGCAGCGTTTCGAGGTCCATCGAGCTCATGGCAGCGCCTCGGCTGCAAGCGTGCCTGCACTATCCTCGGGGGAGGAAGAGCGCAGCGCCCACGAATGTGAAACTGCAGGTCCAGTAACGTTTGAGCCGTGAAACTGCATACTGGGCACGCTAAACACAGAAGCTGGATAACTTCTGACGAGCTGTAAGAACTCCTGCCGTGATAACAAACGTTTCTGTGACAGCTTCTCATGACGTGTCTCTGCGCATTCTGTTTCGTGCGCAGGATTTAAAGGCATCTGACGCATTGATTGGTCACCGTCAACATAGAAGCTTCGTTTCGAACTCGATGGGCCCGGCCCGCGCGTAAGAGGAAACCCTTCATCGTGGGGAAAACTTCACCGCAAACTCTACCATCTGCGTCTCGCATTTTACACTCGTATGGCTTCGGGCGGCCCTCGTCACCCTCGTCGTCGTCCTGCATCTGCTCGTCTATCGTGTTCGAATCGATCGGCGGTCCGATGGAGTTGGAAAAAAAAACCTCGCTCGGATGATCGTGAAATCGATGTCGACTCATTTCGAATAGTTATCGCAGTAGAATAGACGTCATAGCGGGAACTCCGAGGGGGCCAGGTCCTGAAATTCCTCCGAGATTTCGTACCCGAACTGCAAGTCCTGTAAAACCTGTGTGGCCCATGGGTTCGCTTGGGGGGTGATGTTCCAGTTCTCGTCGATCGAGTCGTCGTCCCCCATGCCTCCAAGAATCGCAACTCGCACCTGCCTGTGACAAGACGGGAAATGTGACCAACTCTGGTACCACTTCAGTCGACGTACCTGGAGCTCCTGTGCAGTGGGTAGAATGCGCCAGTGCTGCCACAAGCGCTGAGAGGACCATATGCGCATCTCGCCAGACTCATGTCCCGAGAGGCCCCTCAACCCCAGTCCCCGTCTCATAGCCCGATCTACAATCTTGTCCGAAACCGTCGAGTAAGAATCATATGGAATACGGTCTTCCGCTCCCGACAATAAGGCTGATTGAACAAACGCGATGACCGACGTACGTTTAATATTGCGCGCCGCGCTGTGCACTAGGAAATGTGATATCATGCCTAAACCCGCCCTGTCCGCCTGTAGTCGTTTAGTACGTTCAACCTGTAGCGATCCCGAAGTAGTCAGCCACCAGCCCAAAACTCGCAAAAATCGCCCACACTGTCCTGGATAAGGTAGAAAGCTCTGGAATAGAGTAGTCTGCGCTGTGTCGTGCAGCCAGCCCCGAAAACTTTGGCTAGCGTAGCTCGTTTATCATCATTAACTCGAACTCCGACCTCTTCAAGATTTTCTGGAAGACGTCCCCTGCTCGAGGAGGCCAGAGCTAATCTGTGAGCTGCCTCTCCCCCCCTGGATGTGGTGGTGGCCCCCAGCCTGGAATAACGCACTTCGTGATGTCGTCAGCGTAAATCGTGATCCCCACATCCGTCGTCATGTCGTCGGGATCGCGCGCCAGAGCGTAGTGGGCCGAGCTAGTAGCGTGCCGATAGGAGAGGAACGGCTCGATCCCCTTCTGGTAGTAATAAATAAAGGCCCTAGGCTGGATTAGGATGTCCCATCATCTTCCCCGTCGTCGGCCTGAGAGCTACGGGTCCCGAATGAGTTTCGCTCTGGAAGGCCCCCTGGATTGTACGGGTATGCTGGAATCTGAGGTCCTCTGGAGTGAACAAGTCCCCGGTAGTCTCAATAATGATGTCCCATGTTATACTGGCGAACGCGTTCGTGGCGTCACCGTTCACGATGGCATGTGAAAGACCCTGACGTTGTAACCGCCATGGTACGCAAACTTGCACTGCAATCGCATCCTCCGTGCGTCGATGTCGCGCAAATCCGTGACAATGGTAAGGGGGAGAGGCTCGAACTTTGCGTCCACGATGCCACAGATATGCAGTCCAAGCCTTGCCAATCGGGCAGAAGAGGTGAATCCGTCGTTGGCCCGCAGGCCCTGTCTTCCCTGTCCGCTTGTCGAGGCCCGCGCAAGATGATATGTCGAAGAGCAAGGGAGTGGTCGTCGTCCGCCTGAAGCAGGCCAGTATATCCACGATCCTGTCGTTGAAGCCCTGCGCCGTCGCCGGTCTGATGTCGCTGCCGGGGCCGCCGCGAGTGAACTTCGACCACTGCTCCTCGTCCAAGAGAATCAACCACAACTCTGAAGGAATAGACCACTGTGGTGTCGCCCTCCTCCTGGGAGAGCGGCGCAGTTGAGTGGCGATGCCCATCAGGTCGTCACGCGCCTGATTCAAGCCCGAGAACTGCATCGCATCGTACCTCTGCTGGTCCGCGCGCGCGAGCTCGCCCCCCTCGTGCAAGGCGTCGAAACGAACCTCCATTTCCCGCGTGAGATCGCATGCGTGGGCACCCAACCCACCTTCAGTAGCTGGCTTCATCAAATGCTGCTGCACCCCGTGCGCCTCGCAATTCTCATCCCGAGCAACGAAATAGCGTCGGTGACGAGGTCCCCGCCCCTTGCGAGACAAGCGCCTCACCAGACGCTGCACCGTAGCATGATCGTGTCGAGCCCAAGCCTCATTCAACTCCGTCGTAATGGCAGCATTCCGTTCTGCAGTGATGTCTCGCGAAACGCGACGAATGCGAAGCGTGATGCGTGCCAGTCGAAGCTCGATCTCCGTCTCTTCTGGATGTTCGCCTCCGTCACGAAAGAAATCCACCGTCTCCAAAGTATTTCTGATATCCTTACGGCATGCTAAAAGTTGCGAGCGTTCTGCTTCAAGTTGAGATTTTGTCTGCTCCAATACCGTCGGCTTCTCAAATTCCTGTTGTGCGGCCTGCGTGATCAACGATGCGAAAATGTTCCAGACCTCGTCCGCGTTCGGCCTGCTGCAGAGGCGAAATCCAATTGTCCTCGTCAATGTCCAAGATCGTCTGGTGAATATGTTCCACTGCGTTCTGGCAGAACTCGTCGCCGCGCAGCGTGCCCATGATCCTGTCGCAGTCCCAAGTGTGGCGTCGATGCTGTTGGGCCTCGAACGCGTGCTGGAACTCAAGGCAAAGGGGTCGGTGATCACGTGTGTCCAGCGTGCTGATGGCCTGCAATCTGTTGCCAGCCGACGGTAAAGTCTTGCAATCGACCACACACGGGCGAAGACCTTGTGGAATATGAACGAAATCGATGCGTGAGCTGTAACCTCCAGCTGCAAAATAAGCGCCACCCGCGGGGTGGAAGGCGCCAGCGGCCATGAGATGCAAATCCCGAAGAAACTGGTGCCAAAGACGTGCCGCTAGCCCCTCTTCCTCTGCTGCCAGAATACCCACGGCCTGGTCCTCCCCCTCGGCCTGGGGGTCGTAGCCGATCGCGAGCTCCCCTTCGCATCGGTCCTCTGGGCTGCACCCGAGTCGATCGTAGAGGTCCGCGCCGATGATCGGCGTGCATCTCGCCCCGACGCCCTCCACCAGAGAGCGGGTCCACGCAATCATCGCCTGCGCTGTAGCCCGATATCCAGATCGCGTAGATCTGCATGAAGACTGGACTTGAAAACAGAGCACAATCAAGAAGAGGCCCGAGGAACGTGATTTGAGGCGTACCGCCCCTCATCGGCCCGCCAGTATAGATACGCCCTATGAAATTGCGTGGTAGCCGTTTACGGTGTAGAAAGATACTGACGCAGCAGCTTTTGTTCGTCACCCGTGTCCATCCGAACGAGAGCACCCAGTGAATATGATGTTGGAAAAGACTACGTTCTGAATCTGCTGCTTGGCGCCGGCAAGTCCCAGGGGGAAACGCCGCACTCACATTCGAAAACTCTTCCGGTATCTCCCCGGCCCTGGCGGGCCCCGTAATAAACATAGGGTTGCACGCGCAGATGCGAGAACGCTGGGGCACTGGAAGAGAAGCGCCAGACTCCATCTCGAAGACGAACAAGTACTGCGCCAGGGCGATCACGGCGATCGCGGCGGGAAGCCACCGCCCTGGCGGCGCTGGCGGCGCGACTCTTCTCCCAGCAAGGGCAGAGAGGGCCCCAGACGAGATCAACGAAACATTCCGCTGCCATCCAGTACGGTGTACCACTGACATGTACAGTAGCCGCGCAAGCGTGCATCTTCTTGACCGCTGAGCGGCTAGGAGGAGGATGAGGAGGAGGAGGACGAAGAGAAGGAGGTGGAGGGGGAGGAGGAGGGCCCCTTTCCCCCTCCAACCTATGGTGGTGGGTGGAAAACAAGCCCATCAAGAGCTCTGGGGAGGCCCGTCGGGAATCTGCGGGATTCCCGCTCAACGCGGGCCGCCGCGTTTTTGCGCGGGCGCGGTCTGGTCGGAGAACGCGGAGCCTGTGCGGCCTTCGCCCTTCTGAACGGATATACAGTTAATGATAATAGTGATGATTATCAATGGTGTCACGACTGCCATTATTATTCTGAATAGCATTACCCATACTAGTATTAGTGTCATCCCTATTCTTTTATACTATTAGTTAGAGTATTACAATCATGAGCAACGCAGAGAGAGAGAGAGAGAAAATGAGAAAGAGAAAGACAAAGAACGAGAGAAAGAGAGAGGAAAAACAACAATATATATATAAAGCTTTAACCAGGGCGGACGTCGACGCTTTCGCGGCCTAGGCGGCCACGACCTGACTCCGACGACGCGGCTTCTCAGAACCGAGGACTCGTTGAAGTCTAGACCCCTTCCCCAGAACAACCCCTGTCACCCCGACCCGTTGTTTCACAATCCTGGGCACTGGTAGGGGCCCCTAGGTTGTCAAAACCGACTTTTTGTTGATCTCCACGCTCCCATCAACGACCTCTCAGCGAGGGCCAGTCGCCCACCTGCTAAGATGAAGAGCGGGGGGCCGCGCATAGCTTCAGGCATACGTGTTAAAACACTGCAGGAGATTGTCTGTGTCCACAGAGACGCCCGCAGACCGCTGCCTGTAATGCGGGCGACGACCTCGGCACAACGCGCTCCAGCGATATCCCGCAGCACGAGGCGGAGGAAGATGGCCATTGGACCTGAACCCACGCGCCGACGCTCCGCTGGAGTACGACAT